GTACAACATTTGCAAATCGTGCCAATTTATTACCTAAATAATGGTTTGGTTCACGCGACACATTGCGCACTGCGTCCAATATTTGGTCGACATAGTCGCCCTGCAGAGTCGGTGATTCGAGCAACCATGGATCGATTTCGCGCCACATCTACTCTTGTTGATAAAGTGCATCTTCAAAAACGCCGTACAGTGCGCATCAAAAACACTACTGCTGTTGTGGAGGAGGGTATTGAAAAAAACACGCATTAGTCCATCCGCCATCGGATCTTTATTTGCGGGCTTACAAAATCTAACTACTCCAAGAATTGAAGTCGAAAATTCTTTAGGCGCGTCACACGTTCGTAATGCCTTTTGTTTCAATCAAACAAAAAAAACAGTCACTCACATGATCCTTTGGTTCGGTCCAAATCATTGGTATAGCAAATGGCTTATGGCTGGATTTGTTTTTAGCCCAACTTAATAGCAGTCTCACAGACGTTACACAACATTTAAGTGGAACCCAGGATTTATCTTGATTCCTCACAGGAAATCCAAAATAGTTTAAATAGCACTGTTCAATTAAGGACGTGAAATTACGACGCTGAGATATAAAAGTTAATTCTCCAGACATATAACAAAAACTGTCGGGGTCATTAGAACAAAATCGTGGCATGGTTACGTTGTAAAAAACTTATATATGATACAAGTAGTCAAATGCAATAGTTATATCGTCGTATAAATGAAGTTATTTAAAAGAAGAAAAAACGTTAACTTCGGTTGCACCGAAGCTATAATACCCTTCCCAAATACAAAGGTTCCTTATAAGAACTTTATTCCGATCTAATTTCTTGAAGATACCTCGTTAAATAAAAAAGTTTTCCATGGAAGCACTTTATTCCGATCGTTAAGTTAAAATGGCAGCTATATGCTATAGTCAATCGATCTAGCATTTGATTCCGATCGTTCAGTTTGTATGACAGCTATGTGCTATAGTAATCTGATCTGAACAATTTCTTCGGATATTACATTGTTGACATAAAAAAAAATCATCTCAAATTTCGTGAATATATTACGTCAAATAAAAAAGTTTCCCATTCAAGCACTTGATTCCGCTACAGTGTTTCGATATCAGATTTTCCGAGAAATAAGTAGCATCTTAGTTCGATAGCTTAAAAACTGAGGGACCAGTTCGTCTATATACAGACAGACGGATATGGATAAATCAGCTCAGTTCATCATGCAGATCATTTATGCATGTATATATATTTTAGGGTCTCCGACGTTTCCTTCTGGATGTTACAAACTTCAAACTATTAAGGATATAAAAAGACACGTATATGAGGTCTGAAATGAAGTATGATTGAAGCAAAATTATTATATATTGTTAATGAGGGTATACCAACATAAACAAAATCATCACAAAGTTCGTGTGACAAAAGAAGGTTTACCAGTGTTATTGTAACTTTGAGTCTAAGACCCAATAAAATATATCCATGCAGTCAAGTCTAAAATTCCTTTACATTTCTCTTGATCAAATCAGCTAAGAAAGAAAAGAAGGAAAACGAAGGAGACACAATTGTATCATTATATAAAGTAAATAATTACTCCATTTGTCCACATATATATGCACAAAACGCGCCACATGATTAGCATCGTAGTTCGATCTGATTGCTATTGTAACACGCAATGCCTTCTTCTAGAGATGTAGCGCTGGCCAGTTGAATTGAAAAAATCTCTAGTTAAGGTTATAAATTAGGCAAACATCTACATGACGCAGCGCTACTTTCAATACCCGTTTGAGCTGCGCTTGTGCCAACACCTTGCACATATGTACATACACACACAGATATAATATATACATACGAGGTACGTTCAAAAAATATGAATTAAATTTTTTTCGAAAACTATTTATTTATTCATCAATTTCTATTTTATCCTCTTCAAAGTAGTCCCCCTCAGACGTAATACACTTGTGCTAACGTTTTTTTTAATCCTCGAAGGAGTTCTGATATGCACTTCTTGGTATGCCCTTGAGCTCTCTCAGCGATATTTTTTTGGTCTTGGCTCTCTTGGGCTCTTCTATTAGGACGATTGGACTTTGGTTTCGAAGTCATAACCATATACCCATGATTCGTTCCCAGTTATGACTCTTTTAAGCAAATATAGATCGCCGTTGACGTCATTTGACAATTCCTGAGCGATGCTTATGCAACGATTTTTTTGGTCAAAAGTCAGCAATTTTTGAACGAATTTCGCTTCCTTAGGCTTCATGCTGAAAATTTCCGAAAAAGTTATATGGCATGAGCCAACCGATATGCTGACACCTTCTGTAATAGTGATTCAACGATTCTCCATAGCAATTTTTTTTTCTCGACCTTCTTTCTAAAGCTTGTACCACTTGTAAATATTTTTTTGAAATTTAATGCAAATTCTTTGATCCCTTTTTTTCGACAGCAGGAAATCGCTGAACACCCAAAACACATCTAACTTTGATGCCTCTTACAAAAAATAAATAAATATGCTATATAGCAGAAACTGTGCACATATGTTCGAGATGAGTGTACCAACATAATAAAATAAAAAAATAGATAATCGAATGTACGTAGCTAACGAAATTTGAAAATTCACCTTATTTTTTGAACAGACCTCGTATATGTAGCATGTATCGGCGCGCAGGTCGCGTAGTTGCACACGCTGAACGACGAGTATCAAAAGTCAATGCCGATGCACAATGAAGGATCGTTCATTATTTTTATTTATTTCGGTTGTTGCCACAACTGAGGTGGCGACAGCAATAACACCATTACCATAAATATTGCCGTTGCTTGGCTGCTGACGCGCCAGTTTATGCCAACACCGTTGCGCCGGCAGTACTGCCGATGGAGTGGAATCGTAAAAAGCGATTGCACTATAAAATGAGGCAAGGCATTAGCGGAACCGCTCTTTTCAGCCAGCCAACCAGCCAGCCGATCCATTAGGCGTATGTTGTGACTATGGCGTATGGTTGTTGTTGATATTATATTGTAATTTTCGCTTTTCAGTTGCTGTTTCGCCTTCAATGCAAACTTGTTCGTTGCAACTTAACGTGTGTGTCAATGTTTTTAAATGCGGTTTTGCAAATATTTTTGCATTATGTCTAGGTGATGAACGTCTACTGAATTTTTATTGGCATTGTTATTGTTGCGCTACTCGAAGAGGCGAATAGGTAATTATGAATTTTCGGCTTGAACGTTCCGGTGTTACTCGGTAATTCCAAATGGAGGTGACTTCGTTTGAAGCAATATGGCATAGAAGTACGTATGTATATATTTTGTTTCCACCACAGAAATAAACGCGGTAACCAGTGAAATTGAGGTGCTCTCTATGACTATCTTTGGAGATATTTTTGTATATTATACTTTCATATATGGTTCTATCTACTTTATGATATAAGAAAGAAAATTTCTACAGCATGACCAATCGACAAGAAAACTTAAAGCATGCGTGAAACCCGAGAGAAACCCAACTTAATTCAAAATCTAAAATATTCAGCTTAGACTGTGGATTATGACCGCCTGCGGAATTTTGTGGATTTTAGACTTGGGAATAGAGCAATATCGGTTTCGTTTAACGAGTTTTAACGTGATCGCACGTCAGTGTGCATCGATAACGGCTACAACGGAGTAAAATGGGACAAAATCCACTGTCTAGTATTGGAGAATCGCCAACTGGGTCCTGCGATGGACAACAAGTGCAACCATGAGACCACTTCATAACAGAGCTCCACGCTGATTAAACGCACCCCAAGGAGTTTCGGCACCATTATGTGACCGTCGAAGGATCCAATGGTATACACCAGAGGGCAAGAAACAGTTCTGGTCCATTAGGACTTCATTCGGCGAGCCTGCCCACAGAAAAGACAGTTCAAATTAAAGAATATAGGCCGAAAAAATGATGCCCACCGTTACTGGGGCTTACAAAGTGTGAAATGCACTACTGGGAGAACGTCTCTCCCTCTCTCTACTATGCCAATTATTAGGTCGATTCGATATATTATATAATTGCAGAAAAACTATGTACTATGGTCTACTTTCCAGTAAACAGGCGTGTTAAATAAGTTGGAGCACCCGTGGGTCAACTGTATCGAGGTCAAAGGATATATCAACATATCAAAGGATATGTTGGGAAAAAAACCTCCATTTATCCAAATATTCAATTTTCTTTTATAGACTAAGTACTTATCGGACTGCTCACGTACATGATACAAACAGCCCGATTCGGAACTGAGGGCTTTCAATTGCATAGTCTGAGAACATATAATTATATTCTAACTAGAAGGTTTTGGCTATCTAACTACACTATCTAAAAACATTCTTTGAGCGTTGAATATCCCTTTCAAAATAAATTTCATAATATTTTGTGACTCTTCGATAGATTCCAACTCCGTGTGTAATACTATACTTTTTCTTTTTTCCCAATCAATTAAATAACCTGTTATCTTATACAAGTTTGTATTAGTAGCTCGTTGAATTTCTTAAGCGTCGAGTGTGTTTTTTATTCATTTAATGCATCCGCTGACTCACTTGATTCCTATTGTTATTTGGCTACGTCTGCGATCGCAAAATTTCTAATTAGTAAAAAATATTGAAAACTCCACTTGGCCAAGTCATCGTAAATCATGGATCAGCTGGCAGCCGACAATTGCCAACTGGCGCGCGGAGATCGGTGTGCAGCTGGCAGTACGGCAGCGAACATTTTAAATCTTTGGCGAAATGTGTTCACTATATTTAGTAATTAGACGCGCTAATCAACTTCAGTACTTTGCCAACTTGGCGAGCGAGCGCGATAGCCATAAATAACAGTGATTGCCTTACCTGGTGGCCCAATATATGGCTAATGCAGCTGCAGCGCTAACTTTAATTACATGTGTACATATATACGGATTTCTAAAACTACCAAGCGTGCTCTCTCGAAAAAGCGAACAGTCAGAAATTTGGCAGTTTTGTGTCACGCTCATGTAATTGGCGGACTACTTAGTTCAGGCAATCAATGCATACATTAGATTTTAAATTTAAAAATAGTGAAGACGTAATAAAGAGGCACAGAGAGTACTTTACCTAACCTTCTTATTAAACAGTTTTTAAGTTTGAATATGGATTTGGTACAATAGCTGACATAAGGGCTTCGGATGATAAGATAATTCCAACATATTACAACAATCATCTGCTTCCGTAGCTCAGGATTTCGATAACTAGCCACAAAGAAAATATAGAAATTCCATCTTCATAGATTGGAGTTTATTCACTGTTTTGATGTTGAGCATTGAACACTACTAAAACGAATTAAAAACTTGACTGATGTGTCTGAAAAACTGTGACTGAAAAATCATAAAAAAAACCAACAATTTCACATTAAACTCCGAGAGTTTTACTCACTTCAAGGCGAACAATTCAGTTGGGTCAATAAATATCAAACTTTAGCTCGACAAAATTATAGCCTATAGGAAGGAAGTAAGTGCTAATATATCCATTTGATGAACAATTACAAAGCCGGTTTGTTTTGCGTTTCCAAATGTTAAATGAATATGATCAAATTTTATTTATAGAATAAAATAAAAGTATATTTATTACATATTTTTTGACGGAAGTCCCAAATAGTCAGCAACATCTCTGTATTATGTCGCCAAATTATTTTCTCGAAAATTCGCCTTCAGCGGAAATGAAGCCAGTTGAAGAAAATACATCGCTGGTTCTACACGCAAGAAAAGTTATTCTGTCTCTATCTCTATAAATGCATTCCGCAAATACTTCTTTCGCAAACAAAATTAATGGTTCAATCGTTTTAACACTCGGAAACCGAAGCAAACTGGGATCCGGATACGTTCTTAAAGTAAATATAATTGAAACAACATACTTATACTATTTTATCGAAAGTTAACTACACACTTAAGAAATGTTTTCATAGGGAAGGATATGTAAGAAAAGCCGGGCTCAAGAGTTAGAACAGAACAATCAGATGCAGCCGATTACAGGAATCATGTTTTATTTAACCATAACCGATTCTTTCCAAGCCTGGTATATTTCTATTTTACCTTTCGCAATCGAAGTCGTTGGTTCGTGCGCCGTTGTTTCTACGACTTGGAATTCTTTTTACAGCTGCTAACACTGAGGAACATGCCACGTGTTAAATAAGCCTGAAACATTTACAATGTGCAGATAACATGAGACGCTGTAAAAAAGGAAATCAATTTCTCGCAAAACACAATTTAGAATTGTAATAACAAAAATGAAGCTGCGCGGCTGAACAGGTTGCTGAGACGGCTTGTGTGTACAATCTGTTGGAGAAATTAATAGTTCGTATGTATGTCTATCACGACTGTCAGTTACCATGCGTGCCGTCTATCTTTGTAAGAAGCAACTGCATTGGCGTTCGTTATCTAAGCTGACAGGAACATATCACACAAGAGCGCCCAACGCACCAAAAACTTCAAAGCACGGAGATATAGGAGCCAAGCGGCAAATTACATAAAGAATTAGCAATAAATACAGAGTCCACACATGGTTGGCTCTATTCAATAGCAACAATCCCCGATCAGCATAGCAATCAAACGTCATGGAAGTTTGACCATAACGAGAGCGAGGACTGCACCATTTAAACCCTAAAATAATAAAGAAGATTGGCAATAAAAATGTAACTGTGTAAATGTCCAACTTAAAATATAAATGTGAGCTTCAAATCACCAAAGCTACCACAGCTCGCTTGAAATTCAAACTTATTGTGGATTTGCTCTAGCTTTGCAGACAGTTGGACCGGTTTCCCATTTACAGCAACATACAGGTATGAATATGTTATACCTATGTATGTTATGTTGCAACAAAATATTATATAAATCTAAAAAGACTGGTGAAAACAACGGACTGTGCCATAATTAAAAAAAAGGTTAACTCCGGTTGCACCGAAGCTATAATACCCTTTACAAAAACAATGTATTCTTAACTTAACTTAACTTTGATCGGTCAGTTTATATGACAGTTATATGCCACAGTGATTCAATCTGAACATTTTTTTCCGAGACTCCACTGTTGTCTTGGAAAATACCCCATGCCAAATTTCGTGAATCTACAGTCCATACAAACCCTTGATTCCAATCGGTTAGGTGTATGGCAGCTGTATGTAATAGTGGTCCGATATCGGCGGTTACGACAAATGAGTAGCTTCAATGGAAAAAAAGACATGTGCAAAAACCCATATCGATAAACGATAAATGGCAAACTTAATATATCCTGTTCAGGGTATAAAAAAAAACAGTCGTCGAAAAAGTCAACTCAAGTGTCAATTTCCGTTTATTGAGAGAAATTCTTTTGATCTAATAAAATAATTGACGGAAATTATTAAATGTGTCCATCCAAAATCCATATACATGATGTCTATATTATCGGTGGCCAAAAATTTTAACCGAAGAGCTAGAAACTACTTAATGTTTATCGATCTTAAAGGCTCGGTTGGGTGACAATTCACTTGATGCTAATTCAAAATAACCGGTGTTTTGGACCAGTGGTTTTTAATAAGGCAATACTTTTTCCGGGGTTGGTTTTTGTGACAGCCGTGACTTGATTTATACTCAGTTTATTTTACCTTTTCATAATGAACAAACTTACTCCAGAACAACGTTAAAAAATCGTGCTAATTTATCAACAAAATATTGTCTCGGTAATTCCGGCAGCCATAGATCGGTTTCTTACCACGTTTACCGAAGACACTATTGCTGCTGTGAGTCAGAGTATCGAAGAAGACCCGAATGAATCCATTTGTCATCGCGGGCAATTGTAGCTGTGCTCGTTCCCTTAATGGAAGATTTTTGGTAAGGATCCATCAAGCTCGTTGCACGTTCGGTGAATGGGTCCAAACCCAGAAGTCCACCGTTCCCGATTTTCTCAAAAAAATATTGTTCAGCGATGAATCTCACTTTTGGTTGAATGAGTACGTTAATAAACAAAATTGTCGCATTTGGAGTCATGGTAATTCAGAAACCATTGTTTGCTATTACATTCTCAAAAAGTCATCCCTCAAACCTCGAGTCATCCCACTCCTCCCTCACTTACACATTGCTCTCAGTAATCAATAAGTTCATAACATTGTTTTTTAAGGGATTAGTCAGTATACTTTCAAAAAGTAGAACATTTATTTTACTTAAATTACTTTTAAGGGTGCTCATCAAATCAGTTGATTGGATACTAAATAAAATAATGTTCACGAAGAATCAATGTTCTTAGAGTGCTTTTCCAAACTTTTCTTACATCATTACATAATATATTGTCGTGGTCTTCGCAAGATGGTGCAACTAACAACTCCAACGACTCTAGGGGGAAATTTGTAAAATGTTTATGTAAATAGACGCCTTATATACCACATGTCACCCTAAGGCTACAGACATCTACACTATGCCTCCGGAGAAATAAGAGAGATTTCAGAACATATTGCAAGAAGGTAAATATTTGACTTCACCTGTCTGCAGCAGTGTCCACATAACATAAATTAATATTTGGATGCGATGGTGGTGTATGTAGTTCGACGTAGTCTTAGTTCACTTGTAGTTATCAAATATGTCACGCCGACTTTTAATTGAAGTGTTACTTTTACACACACTTTTGTCAAGTTTATTATCAATTTGCCCAACCATTGTTGCTGAACTCTTTTAACCTCTGAACTAAACGAATTTGCATTTGAATAGCTTGAATGAGCAGGCGCTTACTCGTTTGACTGTAAGATAAAAGCGGCAAATAAAGCCGACTAATTTTCTAAATATGGTTTCTAAAGAGAATGTAAAATAATGAAAATGAAATGTGAACTAAGGCAGAGTTAAGATGTCAAAAGTGAGGATTATCTTTGGGTCTAACACGTAAAGCGGTGAAAAATGAGGCAATGCCGGAACCAATGTTTGGAAGCAAGCGAATAAATTTACGAGTGCATACACAACTCTAAACACGAGGGTATTTACGCAAATAAAACAATGGCAACAAATGCATACAAGGGACGCTTAAGGCCAAAGGTGTGCAACACGAAATTTGTCCTTTATGTACATACTATGAGTATGACATATGTACGTATTTTGACACCTATAGATTTATGTATATGCACACTTACGGTTCTACTGTATATGCATTGCATATTGTCTGTGAAAAAGTTGTGAGCAGTGCAGTTGGCCGATCGTTCATCTGCCTGGACTAACCGTTCGGTCATGCTTGCCATGTTAATCAAAGCGAAAACATGTGTTTGTTGTCATCACAGGCAGAAGTGTATACATACTTGTACATATGTATGTATACTAGTCAAACAAACCCAATTCCAATGTCTTTGAGCAGTACAAAAAGATATGAAAAAGTGTTCTTTGAAGTGAGGAAAACCTTTTATTAAACGAAAAAGCTAAGCACAAATATTTCACTAGCTTAAATAACACCAATTTAGATAAAGGCAGTTTTTGTAGAAATTAGATATTTGTGTGCACAATTTTATTATACATATTTCAGCATGAAATTTATTAAATTTTTTTTGTGATTTCATTCACTCAGTTTTCAAAGGGCAGAGTACAAAATTTTAGATCGATAATTACAATTCTGAAGGATTAGTTCGCGTATATACAGAAAGACGGACAGACTGACATGTGGACATAGGTAAATCGACTCAGCTTGTCATGCTGATTATTTATATACATATATATTGTATATTTTACAGGGTCTCCGACATTTCCTTCAGGCTCTTACAAACTTCGTGGAAACTTAAAATCTCCTGTCCAGGGTATAAAATTAAATATTATTATTTTAAAATTAAAACAAAAGTAGCATAACAGTGTTAAGTCTCGGTATAGATATTATACTACATAAAATAATTAATTGGCTGTAACGTTTTTTAAAATTTTCGATACCAGGTCGATCTTGGCCTCCTAATTTGAGTAAAGACATTTTGTCAGCAAAGCACTTCTTGAGTGTGCGAAATAGGAAGTAGTCTCTCAGTTTATGGTGGAATTCCTTTGATTTGTGAAAGCAACTCGGCACTCATCGTACGCAAAATTTCTTCATGTAACTCACTCAATTCCATTTTACGGTTATATTTATAATAAGATTTCACGATTCTTCTGGCGTTACTCTTGTTGCTTCATTTGTGCTGGTTTAGTAACGTCTAAATTTAGCAAACCCGTACTAAGCTGATGAATATGCTGATTCAAATTAAATGTTATCAGGCCACTACTTTGCCTCAACGGTAGTGCTTTTCCCAAAATGTGTTTTTCAAAACACAAAATCCACTTTTTCCATTGTATACATAAATGGAAGAGGTGGTCTTACTTCAAGACCAATAACTACAGAACGATTATATGAATTGTCTTTCATGTAAGTATGTAAATAAAAAATTAAGGAATGGGAAGAGGTTAAGCGGGAGGTAAGGCATTAATATTAAACTCACACCACACTAGACGAAACAATCTGACAACATTTTTTAAGTCTTCTCAGTAATTGGCTGATATATGACACGTAAGTTATATACATAAACAGTATATGGCGTCTGAGAAAAAGTATAAACTGATTGTCGCATTTTTGGAAGTAGGTAGATATATTGATTTATCTGGGGTGGGTGTGATTGACGCATATACAATGGGCGACAAAAGTCTACGCACGACCCATATTTTTGATGTCTTGCTGCATGTAAAAATAATATAGATAAAGTAATGTACTTAACCATTGTATGAACATGTAAGTAACAAAAGAATCAGATGTTTTCCAAAAATTTTACACGGCTGTGATGACCTGATCGAAACCTGCCTTTTTTGGACACGAGATGTAAAAAAAGGAATATAGTATAATAACTTTTTTGAAAAGAGGTATTTGTAATGGAAAAAGTAAATGAAAACTTTTAAGAATATTCATTTATTTATTGACAAATTTAAGTATACGAAAGTGGCGTCGAATAATAATTAAAATAAGAATTTAGACATAATTGTTGTATCTATCTAATTATAACAATGATTATTATCACATAAGCATTTTCGAAACAAAAGTTTATTGCACATTTCTTGCTTTTCTTCACCACCTCTGACGTTGCGATGTAGCATTTAATAATATCATGATACAATAAATAATATTTTATACAAAACTATGTAAATTTAGTCTTTAGGAATTTTAATAATAGCAAAATATTTGAATATGTAATAAAAAACATTCTTAGACTTATAAATTTTAAAACATAACGCGGCAACAGATTTGAGGCATTTGGACATTTTAGTAGTAGAATATTAGTAGGCAACCCATACAAAATGTGTTATTAGTAGCAGAACTATTGGGCTGAAATTTGTACCGAATGTTATTTTTTTGAGTATGTGTTAGTGAAAACTTTAGGATTGATTACTTGTTAGTTTATACAATGAGCTTAACGTGCTGGTCAAATAAAACAAGCCTATGTACATGTACCTTGGGCATTCGCATGTCATACCCCCAATAAATAGGAGTAGTTTGTGGTTGCTCCGATTTGGGTCAACACATATATTAACTTTTGATATAACAATTTAATAAATGATTTGTGGTAATGCGCTGTCAACCACCCCCGCTATCGTCTCTTTAGTTATTGACGGTTGGTAGCTGGCTAAAGTTATAGTATAATTGCCGTACTAAAAGGAGATAATGTTGAGAAATAAATCTTGATTTTTGTGACATTCTTTCTTTTTCTTTTTGTTTTCTAGGCTACGCTCTTGTCCTTCTCGTAAATAATCTTTTATGATATGAAGAAAATTTCCCTTAGCCCGCTTTAATAACATTATCGAAAACCTATGAAGTGCCATAACTTAGCTCCACAATAAGATGCGAGTCTGTTATTTGTTACAACGAATCGCATTAGGGAGGGGCATCTGCGGTTTGAGACATTTTGGAAAGGTGTGTTTGGCCCAGGCCCCAAATAGGCTTATTGTTCATATCTCCTTAAGCATTTAAGTTAAATCAACTAAAATTGTTTAGAATAAATCTTTTTAGCACATTACAAAGGTGCAGTAGTCGGGAGCAAAACATATTGAGAACTTAATGAAATTGCAGTGTTTTGCCAATTAATTCGTTATAAAAATTTTTTATTGTACAGAAATTCGTTATAAAGAAGTTGGACTCAAATTTACTTTTTATTGTTTACAATTTATTCTTCTCAACGCAATAAATATTAATGATTGACAGATTTGTCGGCAGACATTCTTCAAACAAGTTTCTGCAGCTGAATAAGTATATACTTATGTATATACAAGGTGGGTTCCAAAGTAAACAGGACTTTTAAAAAAAAGACAGAACAAATGGTTTTATCGGCAAAATCAATTAATTTTATTCAAAATAGTCTCCTTCTGCTTTAATACAGCTTTTTACACGATTGAATACGGCGCACGAAACGCTTCAAAACAACAAGGTAGAATACCGCATTAACGGGTGGAACAAATTCTTTGTGGACAATACCCTTGGAATCATAAAAACAAATCAGCATTGTCTTCACTCTTGACTTCTCCAGGCGCGATTTTTTGGGTTTCGGCTCATTTCTCATTTATGTCCTCACGACCATTTTGAAAACGTTGAAACCACTCGTGCACTCTGCTACGGGATAGGCAATTATCGCCATAAACTTGTTTCATCAATTGAAACGTTTCGGTAAAAGTTTTACCAATTTTAAAACAAAATTTAATGTTGGCTCTTTGTTCGAAGCTCATTTTCGTACTGATGACAAAAACATACTGACACTTAAAACTCAATAACTTCACTTCCAATATATGAAATGTCATGAAATTTTTACTGGAAGTCGATAAAGGATAGCAGATTCTAACGCAATAGTCGACATATAGATGGCGCCACTAGATTTTACTTTGTTACTTTTTTACTGTTTACTTTGGAACGCACCTTGTATTTATGCTTAAAAAAGGTTTTACTCTTGCACAAAAGGCTTTATGATCCGTGGTGATTTAGTTTTACTCCCAATTTCAATAAGATCTTTTGTCGGGACTATGAAACACTTGTAATTACCACTGCTGGGCAAAGGCCGCACTTTCATCCAAGTATTTTGTGTCGGTTTGTAAACTTCGACAATGCCTTTCCACTCAGTTGATGATGATCCTCCAACGGCCATCAAACGGTCACTGAGTGTTATGCCACAGATACCACTCCGTGCTATATTCACTGATGCTGCCTAAAAGATACATACATATATGCGGTGAATTCTTTTGCTTTAAATTTTTAAAATAACCTGTGACCACGTATTAGTTTTCGGATCGTAACGCTCTACGTCGCTTCGGTAGGGGGACTGCATTTTTCCTGAACTTATTGCATATAATAGACCTTTAAAAAAGGATGCCTGCCATAAGAACACATGTAAAATTATTTTTGATCAAAATTACATATTGCATACTGTTTTTACCCCGCAATTAAAACGCGCCTGAAGCATGTCTGCGCACTTACGCCACTTCCCTGTTTTGGTGTTATAGCATTCCACTGACTTTAATTCTTCACGATCGATTCCTATACCACCAAGTACATAAATTTTATCGCCAATAGCCACAGCCGTACCTTCGGCTCGGGAAACAAACATTGAAGGTAGTAAGCTCCATTGCAAGGTGAAGGGATCAAATCTATCGCAACACATATTTTATGTAAAAATTAAAATTAGCCAGGCATTGCAAAAAAAATAAAATGGCGGGAAGTACTAACTTCTCTGCAGTATTAGTAGCACTGCCGCTGATATAACCACCTATTACGTAAATGATACCATCGACGTTGACAACACACATCCCTACTCGCGCAAACTTCATCAGGGGCAGTTTACTCCACATTTGTGTTTCTAAATTGTAAGAGTGGACACAATTCAGCGGCAGATTTTGCGGACTAATGCCACCTAGAGTTATTAGCCTTTTATTAAAGTACACCAAATCTGGGCTTTGTGTGGGGAATTTCAACACACCACACTGTATCCATAACTTCTCCGTCTCGTCGCATCGGTAAATACAACTCTCGGTAAACTGTGAAATAAAATTTCAAATTGAGTAAATATCTCTATCCCACTGCCGCAGCTAATATTAGAAATACGAGAACTGAACCAAAAGTATTAGACTTTAGTCATCCGTCCGATTCTGACAGTGTAAAAGAATGCCCAAACTTATCGATAAGATAATATAACGATGTGACACACATTTGCTACTGGAGTTTAATTAACTTAGCATTTTCCCAGTCATCAGCCAAATAGCTCAATTCACTGTCAGTTAATTTATTATTCTGTATGGATATCGAAACCTGCTTAAGCAGACTGTTTCGCTGACAGTTAATTTAGTATGGCTATCGCTTAAGCAGGCTGTTGGTGTGATGAGGTTCCAGCCCCAGAAGGGTGTGGGTATATATTCGATCAACATTTACTTCACAGCGAGCTATCGATGTGCTCAGTGAGCATTTGGCAACATAACAATTTATATACTTATTCTTGCTAAGAATGAATCTGGGGATAGTTGGAACGCCCCTAAGCATTTTTGCCTAACCGAGCTTACGCTCGTATATGTCGTCTAAAAAGTTTTGAATTCTGAAAATGTTTACCTCTTTTACGATCCTTTGTCGCACTGCCAATATAGAATTATTTGTAGTAATATTACTTGATTTTGGATGGTTTGAAGGAAATTGTAAAGCTGGAATTGCTGGTGAGCGCGATCCTTCCGTCGATCCTTTTAAGTAAGCAGTGCAATGAGCAGCAGCACCGTCAAGTTTCAAAATCGTGGCTCCATTTAATAGTCTACTGACGTTATGCATTTTAGGGTTAAGCCTGCCCGTATAACAGTAAGCTATAAGCAACTCAAATTCAACCGGTGCAATATTGTCAATACAAATAACTGGAGCCGAACCTTGCTCCGTTTGAAATAATTCGTCGAAATAAACACTGGCAGCAGCCAAGATAAGTCGATGAGCTGTAATACTAGACAAACGTATTAAAACAATATACTCGTATTAATAAATAGACGAGCGATGAATTGTAATTAAACTCACCGCTTATGATAACTCCGCCACAAAAACGTAACATCAATGTGTTTTTCTTTATCAAAGAATTCATGACAATTCTCCCACATCATATCGATGAAACGTTTGTCTTGACGCACAACGTCCTTTTTAGGGATTGCACTGGCCATTAGGTTCTATTAGATATATACGAACAACTAGATTCCTATTATTGTCCTATTATTATACAATAGAATTTAGATTTTTTAATATTTTTTTTTTGGTGAATTTAGCGCCTAAATAGTTTAACATTAAATGGGAATAAGAACAGTGTTTCTTGTGCAACATTTTAACCGATCATAAGTAATAGTTCCGAGCAATCAACTTGCAAATTATTACATAATACGATTACAAAACAATGCCATACATTTTTTTCTGGTAAACTTTAGAAGACACGTACAAGTCCTCAGCTCGATTCACCATTTTAAAATGTCTGATGACCTCTTTATTTAAATAATTGGTAGCTGTCTTCGTATTGTCGAACCTTGGAGAGTGTCGAACATACAACTGGTTTGAATCGTATACCATTTTAATAAAGTATTTCTCTCATGTAAACTCAAATCGATATGTTTATTGTATGCTAATTTTACGACAAAAGAATGTAGAGCTCAAGCATATCAAGCAGAATAGCGGTGAATCGAAAACGATGAATTTTGCTATCTTTTCTTGAGTTAAATAGTTTTTTCTATGCTATGTATTTTGGCCAGTTTAGATGAAATTCTTAAAGTAAGATTATTGATTTTCTGCATATATGTTGGCAAATCTTCTCTTTTATTATACTCTTGCCACATGTTGCTACAGAGTATAATAGTTTTGTTCACCTAACTGCTGTTTGTATCACCAAAAAATAATCGAGTTGGATATAGGGTTATATTTATCGAAATGATCAGGATGATGTGACGAGTTGAAATCCAAGTGACTGGCCGTTCGTCTGTCCGTGCAAGCGATAACTTGAGTAAAAATTCAGATATGTTAATGAAACTTGGTATGCGTGTTCCTTGGCAAAAAAAGTGAGGACGAGCTCGTCGATTGGCGTAATACGACCACTCCCCCAAAACATTATTAATCGAAAACCTATAAATTGCCATAAATAAGTCACAAGTATAGATACAAACGCGTAATTTGGTACAACGAATTTCAATAAAGAATACCTGTGGTTTGAAATTTTTTTAAAAGTGAGCGTAATTGCCTTAGCCTCCAGATAGCCCACTGATATTCACGATTTTGAAACGTCCAGCTGACTTTACTCCATATATATGTTTATACATATTTATATATTTATAAAATTGCTTGAAAATAAGTTCTCAAGTATACCTGAACAATGTCAAAAAATTTATGCAGTTCAGGTTCTATGCAGATTCTGTGGCCTCAATAATTATAGTATAATTTTCACTGACGGGAAGTGAAGTATTATAATATAACTAAGTGGGTCTATGAACTTCAAAATAAGTTAATATGATCTCAAATTTGATGGTAATCCATTTATGATTTCATTGAACAATGAAGTTGAACCCTTTCGCTACATTTTGTAATATAAAGTTTTGCCAACATCTCAAGGTATTTCCCCGGCTGTGATCCTTGAAAGTTGCAAGAGTATGAAATGTTCGGTTACATCCGAACTTTCTTGTTTGATTTGGTTATTTTTTCCTATTTTCAAAGAAGCGCACCGTATCAAATAACTGTTCGCCTATACACAGAGAGGAAACATCCTAGAAACCAGACCTATCTAATAAAGAACTAATGTAATAGTTTTAAATGCATTTCTTGTAGTAATGATGCATATAATGTGAGGCAATTCCTAATTAAAAAAAACTATACCTCTTCAAGCCTCCATATAACGAATATGAAGACTTATTTTCCTGTGGCGGTATAAAGTCACCAATATTAGTAAACAATAATTTGGTCTGGCATTAAAAAGTGTGCCCTTGCCTAATATAATGATTTTCGCTCTTGCGAGATTAGTGTCTAATAGAAATAGGTAATATATTATTTCGCGTCGAACTCCTTTTAGCACTGACGACCTTCGGCTGCGCTTGAAAAAAAAACCCTGATCGAACCAACACCGGGGTGTCCATAATTCTTTTGCGTCAAACTTCTTTCTGCACAAATATATTCATTGAGACATACATATAGCGAAATAGCGAGCATTACTTTTACAATATTTGAACTTTAAATATAAATATCTCGAAGTCTGAGGCGGGACTATGTTTATTCAGCTTTTAATCCTAATGACCTTCTTTATCCGTCCATACCATCAGATCGCGGCGCCAAGAAAACGTAATTTTGCCACGAAACGTAATGCAAAGGCTACAATACTGTAATGAAGAGTTTGGGATAGATTTCAGCCTGTGGTTTTTTTAGTGCTTTATGCATCACATGCAGTACTTTTTTTGTCCATGTTTTGAGTTCTCGCCATTTTTGCAGGGCTGTACTGATATGATATGTCCCATATGTTGTGCGCGTCACTATATACTCAAAATGTAAATATTAAAAGAACTTATGGTCGTTATATAAGAGATTAGCTTTGTATTGTATTTCACTCTCCGCATTTATACACTTACACATGCATATATCTACATATGGTATATAATATATGTATACATAATTATGTAAAGATTTGTGCTATATTTACTTGTATTCCTTCTTGTTTAGGAAATCGCTGATCACAAATAATACACTGCTACAAATCACGAATGCCCGTTTAATGAAGCAAAACAAATTATTAAATATTATATTGTGTGATATGTATTGCAATTTGCAACGAAATATATTTAGACACATGCAACGGCGTAAATAAAATCAACCAATCGGCTTACACCGCGAAAATATACTACTGGAGATGCGATTCGATTTATATTCTCGTTCAGCTGAAACGTGCTTGCTCAAAACTTTTCGAGTCACAATGAGACCCATTAGGGGCGTACATAAGCGACCCTCGCAAAGAGTAAAATATTATATTAAGTACGGTACGTATGAATATAAATTAATACCTATTTTATGAATGTAATATTGTTTTAGATTCTTCAATAAAATTGTTAAGAGAACCAATTAGGAGTTGCTATCTGTTTGAAAATGAAATTTAGTAATGTCCCGACATGGCTTACAAAAGGCTTATATGGCTTTCATTTCAAAATATGTTTCAAAAGTGTTGCAAACTGTTTCAAATATTAAATACAAAAAAGTGGAAAATCTTATCTTATCAATCTTATTTCTATTTTCATTCTTTTTTTAAGTTATCTAATGCTTTGTAAATGATTCTATGAAAAATTAAGAAACTTCCGCTAAATTGAAATGAAAAATCAGTGGTCGTGTTCGAAAGGCAGGTTACCTCCCTAATATGTAATCGTAAAAATTCTCCAATAGCATGTGTGCGCGATAAGAGTGAAGTTATTTTCTGAGTGCATGCTTACTGTTTGTTTGGCAGTGAGCGAGAGCTCAAATGATTACGGGTATTCCCCGGATTTATTTCATCATCAGAATAAAAAGCTTTAAATTTATTGAACATACATATGGTATATACTTGCCTGAGAACGTGATTACGTGAAGCTAAAATATGTACTCGTATATTCCCTGATTCTTAAATTAGCTCATAACTGTCAGTTGCCTTGTCATGAGAAAGAAATGGAATATGTATATATACATATATATGTAAGTATATATATATACAGTCAAAGACAAAAGTTTAAATACACCAATAAAATTTCACTTTTTATTGGAAAAAATTATTTTAACAAAAATGTAAGTGGGAAGTTTATTTATAGTCAATTATTTACTTACATTGAAATTAAAAAAAAACTTTCAATATAGCTTAGATAACTGTAAATTCATCAAAAACATAAAATTACGCGGGACAAAAGTTTAAATACATTACATAGAGTTTCATATCGCGACTAAATTAAACTAAAATATAAGACATAAAATATATTTAGTATTTTGTTGGTCCACCTCGTGCTTCAATAACTGCTTTTAGACGCCGTGGCATAGATAGAACCAAATTTTCTGTTTCCGATGGCGCAATTTCCGACCATGCCTTTTTCAGAGCTTCTTTCAAGGATGTTTTGCTAGTTGAACACGCATTATCAATTTTCCGTGCCAATACCTCCCAAACATGCTCAATCGGGTTCAAGTCTGGTGATTGTGGCGGACTATAGAGTTGACGAGGAGCATAATACATCAGCCAATCCTTCACCAAACCCGCGATATGCTTAGGGTCATTGTCTTGTTGGAATATCCAAGAACTTCCGAGGCCTAAGCAATCCACCGAAGACTACATATGTTATTCCAAAATACTTTTGTAAACATATTTGTTCATTATACCATCGATAAACGTTAGATGTCCTACGCCAGCCGCTCCCCAAACCATGACGCTACCCCCCCATGCTTAACGGTTGGTATTAAATTTTGGGTTTGATATGCTGTTCCTGTTTTACGCCAAATTTTTGTACGACCATCGCTTCCGAAAAGGTTGAACTTAGATTCGTCAGTAAACAGGACTCTTCTCCAAAAAGATTCATTCATATCCTTGTATTTGTTTGCAAATTCTAGACGAAGTTGCTTATTTTTCTCAGATATGAGAGGTTTTTTTCGTGGAACTCTGCTTTGATAGCTATTTTCCCGTAAGGCTCTTGCTACAGTTTTTGGGTGTACAGATTTACCAGAAGCTGCAGCGATGCTATCGGCTATCTTTGGAGCACTTATTTTGGGATTTTTTGTCACTTCTTTGATGATTAAACTAACATCTCGCCGAGAAAGCTTCCTTGGACGCCCAGACCTTGGCCTATTTTCCACGGATTTGTGCGTTTTGTACTTTCGAATAATATTTTGCACACTTGCATAAGATATATTAAGGATTTTCCCTATATCTCGGTAAGATTTTCCATCTTGAAAATGTTTAATTATTAAATTTTTAACGAAACTCTCTATTTGTTTTCCTTTACCCATTTTTTTATTCTATGTCCACTCTTGGAGAAGAAATCGCTTCTAATACCGAATACAAATGTATAAGTTCCTAAACCATCGCATATAACGGCACTTTTTTCTAAAGAATTTTGTGAAACATATGCGATGCGTATTTTTCAGTGGTTGTATTTAAACTTTTGTTCCGTGGAATTTTATGTTTCTGATGAATTAACCGCTATTTAAGCTACATTGGATGTTTTTTTTTGGTTTCAATGTTAATAAATAATTTACTAAAATTAAACTTCATGCTTACATTTGCGTTAAAATGCTTTGTTTGCATAAAAAGTGATATTTTGTTGGTGTATTTAAACTTTTGTCTTTGACTGTATATAAATATACATAAGTTCACATAGCCTTAAACACAACTCGTGCCTAATTTTGTGAAGACAACTCGTCAAATAACGTTATCCATGCAAGCACATTATTCCGATCGTTTAGTTAATATGACAGGTATATGCTATAGTCATCCGATCTCAACAATTTCTTTGGATATTTTGCTTTACTGCTTAAACTATAATCCATAATCGTTAAATGAAAAAGTTTTCAATGCAAGCACTTTATTCCGATCGTTCAGTTTGACTAGGGATAGTATTTACCCGATTTTATTGATTTTTGACACAAGGTTACAGTATTATCAGACATAGAGCCATAAGCACTGGGTCCACCTCTCCACCATATTGGGGGCTTGAACAGTTATGAACTGATTTTGATAATTTTTATACTTGAGATGGCATACCTCAAAGACACTATTCGCGCCAAGTTTTATCCCGATATATTCATTTGTGCTTGATAGGTATACTGTATTGTGAAACAATCATATGGAATTTAAAATTGTGTTATATAGAAAGTAGGCGTGGTTGTGGTCCGAGTTCAATTCACCCTGTAAAATAGGAAAGTCTGGATAATGTTTAATACCGAATTTGGCTTCATGTGGTAGTGCAGGTCCTGACATATTTGATTTCACCTGAAGGTCACTCCAATTGTCCAATTTTGATACCGGCTCCTATGAAGCGTTTGATACCTTCTTGGCTGTAAAACTTCTGTTCTGACGCATTTATTTAGTGAGTTATCGCACTTTAGTAGTTTTCAACATAACCGCTGTATTGGGAGTGGGCGGTCACGATCCGATTTACTCATTTTCACATTGTCAGAGAAGGCACCGAAATCAATTGTCCTGAGCAGTTTTGGTTAATTTGGCTAAAGTAGTTTGGAACTGTATATACATATAACGTATTGGGGGTTTGGTCCACACCCATTTTTATACTCTCGCAACCTGTTGCTACAGAGTATAATAGTTTTGTTCACCTAACGGTTGTTTGTATCACCTAAAATTAATCGAGTTAGATATAGGGTTATATATATATAAATGATCAGGATGAAGAGACGAGTTGAAATCCGGGTGACTGTCTGTCCGTCCGTCCGTCTGTCCGTCCGTCGGTCCGTGCAAGCTCTAACTTGAGTAAAAATTGAGATATCTTTATGAAACTTGGTAGATATGTTTCATGCTACCGTGAGACGGTTGGTATTGCAGATGGGCGTAATCGGACCACTGCCACGCCCACAAAACGCCATTAATCAAAAACAAATAACTTGCCATAACTAAGCTCCGCAATAAGATACAAGACTGTTATTTGGTACACAGGATCACATTAGGGAGGGGCATCTGCAGTTAAAATTTTTTTTTAAAAAGTGGGCGTGGTCCCGCCTCTAATAGGTTTAATGTGCATATCTCCTAAACCGCTAATGCTATAATAACAAAATTCACTGGAAGCAAATTTTAGCACTTCTATTGACGGTGTGAAAATAGTTGAAATCGGGTGGCAACTCCGCCCACTCCCCATATAACGGTACTGTTAAAAACTACTAAAAGCGCGATAAATCAAGCACTAAACACGCCAGAGACATTAAATTTTATCTCTGAGATGGTATGAGATGACTTTATAGGAAAATTAGACAGTGGGCGTGGCACAGCCCACTTTTAGGTGAAAACCCATATCTTGAGATCTGCTTAACCGATTTCAACCAAATTCGGTACATAACGTTCTTTTCATGTTTCTATGTCATAGTGCGAAAATGGGCGAAATCGGACTACAACCACGCTTACTTCCCATGTAACACCATTTTCAATTCCATCTGATTCTTTCACTTTCCACTATGCAAATCAAGTAACAATGATTATATCGGGGTAAAACTTTGCGTGAATAATGCAAATAAAGTATGCCATTTTGCGGCCAAAAATTGTCTAAATCGAACCAAAACTGTTCAAACCCCTAAGTACTAAATATATGGACCCCAGTGCCTACAGTTGACCTTCTACCGAAAATATCAGTCAATCCACAAAGAAATCTCAAACGAGTATACCATTTGACTTTGCGAGAGTATAAAATGTTTGGTTACATCCGAATTTAGCCCTTCCTTACTTGTTTTAAATAATTTAAAACCACAGATACCCATTCCTAATGCAATTCGTTGTAACAAGAAAAATATAGCTTATTGGGTGGTTCAGTAATGGGGCGTGGCAATAACCCGATTCCGCCCATCTGCAATACAAACCTCTCTTTCATTACGATATCTTATTATACCCTGAACAGGGTTTGCCACGAAGTTTGTAACATCCAGAAGGAATGGTCGGATATCCTATAAAATATATACATAAATGATCAGCATGATGAGCTAAGTTGATTTAGCCATGTCCGTCTGTCTGTCTGTCTGTCTGTATATATACAAGCATCGATATAAAATTTTGCACCTGTCCTTTTCTCACAAAGAAGCTGTTCATTTGTCGGAACGGCCGATATCGGACCACTATAGCATATAGATGCCATACAAACTGAACAATCTGAATCAAGTGCTTGTATGGGAAACTCTTTCATTTGACAAGGTGTCTTCACGAAACTTGGCACGGACTATTATTTAAGGCAACAATGTAATCTATGAAGAAATTATTCAGATCAGATTACTATAGCATATAGCTGCCATACAAACTGAACAATCTGAATCAAGTGCT